CGGACTCGGTCGCATCCTGCAGCTCGCGACGAATCTGCGAAAGCTGAAACTCGCATTCCACCCCTATTCCAGCGAGAACTCCAAGTTCGCTCTGTCGTTCCGTGAGCTGTTCTACGACTTCACGTACAAGCAGCTCACGGATCTGACGCTCGAGGGTGTTTCGTGCGAAGAGGAAGACCTCAAGTACTTCCTCGCGCGGCATGGCGCCACCCTCCGGCGGCTACGTCTCGGCGGCCGCGGGCTCGCCAAGCCCTTCGAGGTGTCGCTGGGAGGCATCCATATGTACGAGGGCAACTTCAAGTCGCTATTCACGGGACTCCGCGCCAAGATCCCCAAGCTAGAACGCCTGCATCTCGAGGGCATCTTCGAGTGCGAGCACCACGACCTGCCCTCGCACGAAGCCTACAACTTCTACCCCCTGACGAACGAGGACTGGGAGGAGGTGCCCCGCCCCAAATGGGTGCGCAGCTCGCGGAAGACCATCAGCTGCTTCCCGTTCGAGCAGTATGTCCTCTTCGGGGGCCCGTATCCCGGGACTGCCTTGGCCCAGCAGACCTACTAGTCGAAGAAGCAATTTTGGCCACGGCTTATAGATCACGGGCCGCATTTATCATCGTTACGAGCAACGTTCCTCGATTTCAACTTGTATCACCACGGACTCTTGCATAACCAGGAGTGGTCATGTGGCGGCGACGGCGGGTTATAGGGGCGTCGAGGGAGCATGGCTTGCATTCCTGCGATTATTTATTATTATTATTATTTTTGGAAGACTTTACCGTATCATACCATACTACGACTTTCACTTCTTGGGCAACAAGGACGGGTTATTATTTATTATGCATGCGGAACGACATTTTTTCTCTTTCTTCATTTTTCTCTTCTCGTTCTAATATTTTATCATTCTCGTTCTGACGGAAGGTGGGCAACATATAGAGGACTCGCACCAGTCCCACTCACCGCCAGGTGCAAATCAATCATCACATTTCGGCGTTTTATACACCTTGTCCAAATTGCTTGCTTCTTCGGGGAGAGGGAAGCGGGGGTTTATTTCACATTTCACGAATAATGTTATGCTGCTATCTATCATCTTGGTAAACGGGCGGGGATTGGTACATGAGTGGTTTATGGTTTTTTTTTTGGTATTTTTGAAGGAGAGGGAGAGGTGTGGGATGGGATGTACGGGGACGATGAGAGTTTTGAGGAAGACAGAATATGCAGATTGTACCGTATTGATAGACTGTTGAATGAAGATCCCAGATTAGACTGATTACCTAGCTATGTTGGTACTTGCCTTGGTTTGCTGTGTTGGCTGGTTTGAGTATCTTGGCTCATCTAAATTTTCTAAGTTGAATAGGACTCTAATGGTAATTCTAATTCTCAATGACATGTCTATAGAATATACGAATCATAAGTTAAATGACTAGTTACATGTACTTTCTTAGTATCCTTTTGTCCTTCATATAAACTGGTATAGTCACACTGCCGTCATTGGAAATAGTCGAGAATAGCTTCTACGGTTCTGTAACTACTAATGACTTTTGGTAGTTATCAGAGTTTCTATAGCTGAAATTCTATTGGGCAATCCTTTAAGCCCCCCCCCCCCCTTCTGCCCCTCTCGGCTACTCCGTTGTGTTCTGGCTATTAATCTAACTAGTCACCAAGCCTTGGTAATATCACCATCAAGCGGTGAGCAGCTTTGCTGAGTAACAACTACGCGGAAAGCCTTTAGATTGACATTGGTCTTGTGTTTTTCTTAAGACGATACTTTTACTCAAGTTTCTGGTTAATATGTAAATTACTCGCGGATTAATAAACCTGTTAATTTTACAAATATCCTTCAGTTACTATAGTTACCTAAGTTAGAACTTGCCTATCAAGCAAGTTTTTACTTTCAATCCCTATAGTTAATACATAGGTCTCACTACTTGCATCATACGTCATTGAAATTTAGTCGGCTTGTTCTATAGAAGGTCGGATATAGGGGTATTCAGGGGTTAAAGTAGAAGTAGCGGAGTCAACAAGTTGCCATGGATATGGGAGGGTTCGTGGAGTTTATTAATTTAGCCAAACCCCGGGAAATCAACGGTAATGCCGCGCGTCCTACATACCGGCTTTCCTTGGCCGTGCCACTCCGGGTCCCGCTTAGTCAGGTCCAGTCTTTCGTTCCGCAAACGCCGGTGTTCCCACACATGGGAAGTAAGTACCTAAGATGCCTAAATTAATGTTTAAGAGGTAGGTAGGGTCTAGAAGTTCGACAGCCTTGAGAAGTTTAAAATAAAAACACTAACTACCTAATGTAACATACTAAGTTAGGCGTGCAGCAGGGTGGGTAATGCAATGCTACTAGGAGTGGGCTAGCTCGCGAGCGCTACGCTTACTATAGCGTATTTTTGGGGGCTGCGGTGTAGTCGGGTATTTATTATTTGAACGCTTTGGTCGGCGATGGTACATAGTGTAGTGGTGCTGCACGAAGTCTTTCGGTGAAGCAGGGCGCAATGTGATACAGCAACTGTGTTTAGTTCGGAGGTTTAGCTCTAATAAACATAGGAAACTTTTCTTCGCCCGTTTGGAAGTTAAAAAAAAATATTTTCTTTACTATTTTCTTTACTATGTATTCTTTTCTCAGGTCTCGCCTCGCACCAATTTGGCGTCCGTTGAGCGTAGGCCGGGGTAGCCTTGTTTCAATTCGGAAAGAAGTTTTCCAACGGCTTGGGAAATCTGTAATGTAGGCAAGATATGTGGACCAAACAGATTTATGTACTTCGTACATCCATGTTATGTACATACCTATTACTTGCGTATGTGCTTATGGATATACATATGTACATACAGTAGCTGTACAGTATTTTGTACATGCGTACGAACTCGAACCTCGTATCACGCGAGTACATACTAATGGGTGCCGATGGGTCATCCTAGGACGAAGAGGCTACCTCGTAACAGGTGATGGAGGGCACATGATTGATCGTCATCGTAACAATATGTATACATAGAAGCTGCAGTCAGATGAGAACAACTCTTTTGAGTATATTTAACTTCAGCCTACTACCATAGTATGCAGTAGTTGAGTATGTAGTTTGATATCCGCGAATAAATTGCATTGGCGCAGCAATCTGCACGGGGAGGTCCTGGGAATTTTAGTATATTAAAATATATTGAAAGGATCTCTGTCCCGCTAACCCGAGAACGCCTATTTTACTTCGTATCATATGTACATGCAGTTACGGTAACTAAATTCCATACCAAAGTACATATTTAAACTATCTTCTCGAAGGATCAATATTGATAAGTTGCCGCGAGATCATCGCGGCTACTCGCCATCGCCCGTTTACGAGCCCATTGTCATCTCATAACTGGATTTGTCAACGTAGGGTTTCCACTACCGTCGCTACGTACTAGGGGTGAAAGAGAGATCAGTTCATGTCGTGCTCATGATCGGTGCAAGCTGCAATGCTGCAAGCGCCCATGTGTCAGTGGATTTGGGCGGGCTTGGCGGTGTCATTTTCATGCCAACGCCGCGGATGTACATGGCATCTCCACAGATGTATGAGGCGGTAGGGCAGCCCGACGTTTGATGAGCCAGCAAAGCCTACATGATGATACTGGTGTAATCGAAAACATTCCTCATGTATACTACCTAGTGTATGCACACACACACTTACATACTTAGGTCCACACATGTACGGAGACGTAAAAGTGCATGATTGGACTCAACCTAACTACATAGAATGAGAAAGACGGTTGAGGAAAAACAAAGCAATGAAGGACTTAATAGTGTGGAGAGTAGCATTTTTGGCCTTTTCCAAGCTTAAACAAGGTTTCCTTGTCGATCGACTCGAATTCCCGAGTCCCAACGATGAGAAGATCGATTAGAAATTATCGGATACGGTAAGGCCATCCTTAATTACATGTAGTTTTTTCTTTCATTTACTTGTAATGAGTCAAGAGATCGCATTATATTCAAAGCCTCAACTAAAATAAGTCGGTAGGTATACATAATAGATTAGGTACGCCCAAAGGCGTTTTAGTTGTTTCATTTAATATATGGCTTCCGAGATCCTTGAACCGTGTAAAGTGGAATACGATACATACTGTATTCTATTTTAACCACATGTACCTAACTCTGCAACATACGTATAGAGTTTCTGCAGCCACGTTTGTTCATATATATTAGACTTAACTGGATTATGTACCTAATCTAGTATTAGGTAGTATCTGTTAAACTTTACGTTTTGCTTTTGGCCCAAGTCTAAGTTGAGATCGTTTAAGCGCATCTGATATTCTGCACATTCCATATTCCATATTCCGTATATAGGTAATATCCGTATCATACGCCGGAATGCTTCATCTCCTCCCGCTTGGACTCTAGATTTAATACGCTTTGGAAACGACCGCTATGCACATACATACATACGTGCGTACTTAAATGAAATGCCAGTCCCGTTCTTGCTTGGTACCGAGGTAGCAGCAGTATCAAGTCCACAATATATATGCGGTAGGCAGGTACCTGAAATAATCTGTAGTTTTGTTCCTGAATTCATCAAAACCGAACCGGTAGTGCGGCAACTCTCCGTTTATTACTCCCCGTCCCCGCCATTGCAAACTACCCCAATACGGTAAAGTCTCTTCCTTACCCCTGGCTGTTTGGTGCTGCCGGCCGTGCCTGCGCTTCCCTGTCTAGCTTGTCTTGGTCTTGTCCTACCCTGCACAAATTGCGCCTACCTGACCTTACCTTGACCTTTAGCTCCACTAAACATGCATTTACTATGTACGCATGCATCCTAAGCCCGGCTTGAGGGTCGACTGCCCAGTCAAAACGTCACTTTTGTCTGCAGACCAACTTCACTCTAGCCCATCCCGCCAGCCCGCCAGCCCGGCCAGCCCGCCTACCGTATGTATCTAACAGAGAAAAGGAAACAGAACCATTGCCAACCTTTGCATGAGTTGTCGTCAGTTCTTCCTAGTCCCCTCTTCGTTAATCGTTAAGCGTTCCGACTCAAGCCTCTGGATCCCATATCCTCTCCCTGTTCAATGCCGCTGGCTCAGTGCCTGCCTGATGAGCAGATCCGACTTCTCCGTCCTTGATCTGACAACTTACTGTAGTTTTGTTTTCGACAAGAGGTTGCCTTTTCCTCCGAAGGGCGCAAACTCGTCTTTCCTTCGGAAGGTGACGATCCGTGTTTGTTAGTTGCAGCTAGCCATTGATGATGCAGCGAGTTTCCGCCCTCCTCCCGTGGGATCGCAATAGATCGAGCACACCGGTCATTGGTAACAGCAATGGCCATAACAAGACCGTTATCCGGAAGAATAGTGTCGACCTCGTCCGCGGCTGGGCCGACAAGATCCCTTCACCTGTAAACCGCCTTAGCACGTCGAGGCTAAGTAGGGATGTTTTCCTACCCGCGACTTTAGACAAGGAATGCGACAAGGCCGCCCGCATTCTTAAATCCTTCTGTAGTATGTTCTCACTGTTCGTATCCCGCAAGTAAGGGATATCCTGTAACTGACGCCTCTTAACAGGCGATGGCTTCTCAACCCCAGACGACCGACCGGGGACCCCGTCAACTTACTCGAGTACACAATCGTCGCATAAGTTTCTAAAGAAGATCCCTCCAAGAATATTACAAAATGCTGTAGGGCTCGCGGTTTTTACTTCGATGCGATCTGGAATATGGAGTTCTGGGTCCGGGTCAGGCGGTAGCGGCATTCTGATCGCGCGCAAAACGGATGGGACATGGTCTCCGCCATCTGGGTTAATGCTTCAGACAGCTAGTTTGCGCTTCGTTTTTGGCGTTGATATTTATGATTGCGTTCTCGTTATTAACAATTTTACGGTCCTCGAAGCATTTGCAAGGCCGCGGTTAACTCTTGGTACCGATGTCAGTCTAACCGCTGGCCCTCTGGTGGCCGTGGGCCTCCTTGAAAATGATGTCACATGGGCCGATCTGAGCGATAGGGCAATTGCATACGTGAAAGCGAAAGGACACAGTGCAGAGGTCAAGTTAGACGGAATAGTCGTAACTGAGCGGGCTGATGAAAATGAGAGGTTCTATGGGATGAAAATCAGTGTCGCGAAAATTTTGGCGGGGGATATCAACCAAAGTCTGCCCCAAACGCGGCCTCTTACCGAAGTGCTCAAGGCTGCCGAGGGAAGAACGGACTATGACACGGCCCTCGTTGAGCTGCTTTCCTCTGCGCCCGGAGATGCAACCATCGAATCTCCGAGTTCAGGAGCCTCGTCGACAACATTTGGAGCTCCTGATTTCGAGGATCCGGATCCTTTTGGTGTCATGGCTCTCGAGATGGCTGGTATGAGCATCCGTGAAGCCGGCACACGACTGAGACCCGATAGCAGCCAATTCGAATATAACCCTAGCCCGACGAGCCCTTTCTATCCCAAAGCTGGTCGCCAAAGTATGGATACCTATCTGTCACGGAGCAATAGGGGAAGCTATATGTCTAGCAGAACGATGGCTACTGAACGAAGCCAAATGACCGATGCCGGCACGCAAACCTGTAACTTCCCAACACCTCAGACGACCCCAAGCTCAAGTCAAAGCCAAAGCGAAGACGGAAACCAGCCACAGACAACCGAAGACATCCCGGCGGTGAAAGAGCCTGTTGAAGTTGACTATACTAAGATCGATATTAGTGCTCTGAGGAGCCTATCAAATTTCCCAGATCTGGACGACGAGCTAAGCACGACGATTATTAAGGAGGAAGATGAGCACGATTTAGAAGTTGAAGTTACCAAAGACACGAAGAGTACGGGTACAGGTACGGGTACGCATACCGAAAACATTGGCAGTAATGCAGCCGTTGAGTCATTACATGAGGGCAATAATAACAATAGCGACGAAGAAGAGGAAGAGAAAGTTGAAGAGGAAATTGAAGAGGAAGCTGAAGAGGAAGAGGAGGACGAATCCGACGTGGAAGACGAGGCTATTGTTTTCGAAGTTGCTACAGCCCAGGCGCCCGCTCGAGTAGCGATGGTAGCTTCTCGAGTTAACATTCCTGCAAGAGTGCCGCCTCCGCTTCCGCTCAGAAGTCCTGCCCGTACGTCTCGTACGAGAAGTCAGATGGGAGATGTCAATGGTTTAATGGGCAGTCCACTTAGACAGGAATTTGAACTTGAAGGCGAAATTGACGAAGCGACTACACCGAGGGCCAAAGAAGACCCTACCAAGCATGCAGCAGTAATGGACGAGGCACCGATAGCGAATGAGGCTAGCGATTCACACGAGGTTAAGCAAGATATCGAGAAAGCCGAGCACGTGGTCACTCCTACTCAAGAATCTGAGAGCATTAGCGGTCGCTCCTCTGCAATAGGAAATAGATCTTCTTACGGAGAGAAGACCATGACCAGGGCATCAACAGGCACGGAGGAGCAGACAAGCTTTAAGGCCACTCCTGACGTCTCTGTCACTGTTGCGTAAGCGTGGTAATGCTATGTTCACATTTTTCTTCAGTCACAACCATGGGAATTTTGGAGTTATTGGGAAAGCATAGGAACGATTACAGGAAGGATGAGATACCACTATGATCAAGGAATGATCGGGTTATAGGTATGAGGTTATCTTGCACGATACTCGATGCGCTGCGATCAACATTAGACAAGGCTCTCGAGGGCGAGGTGGGCGAGGTGGGCTACTCGAGCTGAATAATACCCTTGATATGTACTTTTATTGTTTAACATATTGTACCAATCTGCAATCATCAAGCAAACTGGGAAGAGGAATGGCACGGGTACGTGTAAGAGTCAAAGGAACAGGTGCTATGGGGATTACTATGGACAGGAATAGCGAATTATCTAGGCATATCATATATGTAAGGGAGTAACTTGACAGGCAGCCATTTTAGAAGCTAGCAGCGATAGGACCTAAGCTCTTGAAAGTTGCCTACACAATGCCTCCCTATGATAGCCCTATCGACGGCGACGGTGACTTGCCTGCTGTAGTGAATGTGTAGATGTGCCCGCAACCTATCGCCATTTGTAATTCGTACCTTTTTCTACTGCCCAGCAACAACAATTCGATGAGTTCATATTTTCTTCAAACTTGAAACTAAATTCCATTAGGATTGGACTTGGGCTTTTGATATGAAAGTAAGTCATCGTTGAATTGAATTCCAATGCAGCGAAGAAGACGTGCGCGCAAGGGCAAAGGCAGAGGCCGAGGCCGAGGTCGAAACCGATCCCTGGGCCAAGGCGCACTAGCCACAGCCTCGGGTCCTGCCGACGCCAACCGATTGCAGTGAGTTCCACTTCCGGGGTTACGGATCCATACATGTAGCATGGATAGCATGGATTAATGTTTCTTCCAGGTCCCAGCCCCAGCCACAGGCCGGACTTCCTCAGCCTCAGAATGGAAGCCGAACTCGACGCGTTGGTACGCGCGAGCTTGGAGCAATTCTTGAACCATTCTTAGATCATCCTACTCCGGTAGTCGACGAGGGTTCTAGCCTCAACAACGGTCAATCTAACAACCGTCTCTCCACTTCCACTTCCGTCCAAGACTTACATTCAGCAACATCCCGAAACAGAAACACTAGAGCATCGCACCGAACCTTCGTGCGCCAACAAAACCCTCCCACCAACAAGGCTTCCCGCAAGCTCCTCAATATGGCGAGCCAGCAGGGTAAGTGGCGCGAGGACCAAGTCCTCGTCGTCTGTCCCGGTAGTCAGACTACCATGGCCCAGCTCGGTTGCAATGAGCTTACTCCGCCTGCTCATCGCATTCCCACACGAATGTTCAAGGATCCCGAGTCTAACGAATATACTCCCTACCGCATTTACAAGCGCAAGAAGGCTGGCGCATCGGGAAGCGTAGACGGCGAGAAAGCTGAGGATCAATGGGAATATGTCGAGGATCGCGACAGCACTGAGGATGCAATCTACCCTTTGGAAGGTGGTCGCATTGTTAACATGCCGGCCTTCCTAGCATTTCTCGACCACGTACATGGTCTTCTCACTACCACATACCACAACACCCCGATCATGATGATGGCATCACCACAATGGACCCGACCTGATCTTGAAGCTATCGCGCGCTACGTATTTGAGAAGACTAAGACTCCTGCTCTATGCCTGCTGCACAGCGCGGTTGCGGCGCAATATGGCCTAAAGTGGCCGACTATGACTGTTGTCGACATTGGCTACGAGAAGGTCGATGTTACCTGCATCCACGAGTATCTCATCGTCAGCGAGAAGGGTTTGGGCTACCCTAACCCGGTACGAGAGATATCAGGTGGAGAGGTCTTCACACAGAAGTTGTTGTCGCTTCTGAAGGATAAAGGGTTTAACTACGAAATGGCCGAGCAACTCAAGAAGAGCCCTCTTTGCGAAGTCCTTCCCTACGCCACCGACTTGGATGAACTCATGGAGCTTCCTACGGACGATATCTCTCCGACCACAGGCCAGATTCCCGGCGGTGCCTCGTTTAGCGCAGAAGTCCCGAAGCCTGTAGAACCACCGAAACCTATAACTGCATTTGGGGGTGAGACTGAGAACGGAATTGCTGAGGGTAAGGAGATCGACGAAGGAGTTCTAGACGTGGCGAATATCGTTACTAGCGGTAACACGCGAGAATTCCTTGCTAAAAAGGAGAAGGAGAAGGCTGAAAAGGCGAAGTCGAAGAAGCTTGCTAAAGCCCAAGAAGCTGAGCTTGCCGCGGCGAAGCCAGTTCGCTTATCCAACTCTAAGCGAAAGACCAACGTGTTCCATTATGAGGAGTTAGTGCACGAGGATGTAAAGGTCCATGTCTCGACCGGGGCCCCTAAAGCAGAAGCTACCGCTGCCGCAAATGGTGATGCGCCCGTGCCCGCGCCCGCGCCCGCGGCCGATGTGCCCATGGCTGATGCTACGCCTAGCAATCCAGAGACGAAACCCGAGGCTAAGCCTGAGGGTACTAGCGATACTAATGTCGAGGTGGTAGAGTCTGCGGCTAACGCTACTAACACGGAGCGAAGAACAAAGCGAGTGCGACGAGATATTGAGGTTGGTCTGGAGCGATTCCTTTTCGCAGACCGTCACGAGATCAACCGAATCACCGATACTATCTATCGCGCGATTCAGAGCATTGACGAGCCCTACAAGCGACCAGGCTGCTGGGACAATATTGTGTTCGTCGGCAATGGCAGCCGCCTACGAGGTCTCAAGGAGAATATCCTTCAGACGCTTACTGCCCGTCATCTAATCTCACCCAGCACTGCGACCATCTTCACCTCGGAGTTGCCCTCCAACATGGCAACACCAAGTGGAACCGGCTCTCAGACACCCACCGGCTCTTTCACAGGCCAACTTCCCACGACCAGCTCGGTAAACCCTCTCCTGCAAGCCGCTACTACGGCTTCATTGGGTGTGCCCGGCACGGTACAGGCTCCCGGCTCGACTTCCGGCGACGTTAGCTACGGTCACCACTCTCACGCCCAGACGCCCACGAGCATCAAGATGGCCCCGCTGCCCTCCTACCTGGCCGAGTGGACCAAGAACGGCTTCGAGGAGGCCATGTTCCTCGGCTCCCTCATCGCCGCCCGTCTGGCGTATTGCATCCATAACTTGGACGCCCAGACACTGGAGGCGCAGCGCACGATGAGTCTTAATCGTGTTGATTACAAGTAAGTTCTTCCCTTTTCTTCCTTTGCTACCTAGATAGACACTAGACCAGTAGGACATCAAAACTAACGGTGTAACAGCGAGCACGGCCCTAAGCTCATCCATGTACACTCGATGCTCGGTAACGATACTTCATGAATAAAGGGCGGAGCGTTGCTACCTAATTGACAATAATATTAACTACCGTTCTTCTCTTCTGCTTGTCCTCTTTGGTCATATCGCGGGTTTCCTTTGCGGAGTTTCAGGGTCACGAAAGACAAAAAGTTTCCTACGGGCGGGGGGGCGGTTGCACTTTTATGTAGTTTAGGGCTTAAGGCGCCTGAGGCGGTTGTTTACCTATGCACCCAGCGTGATGGTTGATATATGTATTATCACCTTTTCTCCTTTTTTTTTTTTTTTTTTTTTTTTTTTTGGCGAGTCCGGATTCCGATGCAGAGGCTTTATCGTCCTTGCTGTCACGGTTTTGGAGAGGGATACCCGGAAGCAGGCTGCAAGCCGGAGCTGGCTTGCTTCGGCGGTTGGTTTCCTTGGCATTTTGCGGTTTGGTTTTTTGCTAGCTTGGTGAATATTGTAGTTAGTTACGTCGTACTGTTGTAAATAGCTAGCTCGGGCGATAGTTGCGGGAGAAGACGTCTAACTAATGACTATACCATAGTTGCGAATAAAACACACAAGATCTAGTCAAGGCAGACTTATTCACAGGTACCTACTCATAGTTTTCACGAGAGTAAATTGGCTTACTATAAAGCTACATGCGAAAGACTAGGTATCTCCTTCAACCCATCATATCCATCCGTCCCCTCCTCTTTATTTCGAAGGATCCAACAACAACTTCCCCGTACTCTTCCGGCCCTCGAGATCACCATGAGCACGCGCAACCTCGCTCAGGGGGTACACCTCATGGATATGCACGTTAATCTTCCCCCCAGTAATAAAGCCGAATAGCTCATTGGTGTAGTACTCGAGCTCCTCCCTCGTAGCCACATAGTTAAACAGCGTCGGCCTTAACAAGCGCGCGTTCTTGGCGCTCAGCCGGGCAATCGTCAACGGCGGCACGGGGCCCGACGCATTGCCGAAGGAAACCAGCGTGCCCTTGCGCGCGACAACTTCCAAGCTTAGATCGAACGTCGACTTTCCCACGCCGTCGAACACGGCGATGACGCCCTTGCCGCCGGTGAGCTCGGATACCTTTTGCTTCACGTCCTCGTGGCTGTAGTTAATCACGTGTGTAGCGCCGGCTTTGAGCGCCAGGTCGACCTTTTCGGGCGTGGAGGCCGTGCCGATGGTGTTGGCGCCGATGGCTTTGAGCAGTTGCACTAGCCAGAGGCCGGTGCCGCCGGCGGCGGCATGGACGAGGACCCAGTCCCCTTTTTCGACGCGGTGGGCTTCGCGTACCAGGGTCAAGGCTGTTAGGCCCTGGAGCAGGGCGGCGGCGGCGATCTTGGGCGCTACGCCGGCGGGGATTTTGATGGCTTTGGAGGCGTCGACTGCGGTGTACTCTGCGTAGGCGCTTTCGCCGAGCCTGGGGGGGGTGCGGACGGGTGTTAGTTAATATCCAACAGGAGAGGATATGACTAACTACATAGTGTATGTGTGGTGGTGGTGGTGGTGGTGGTGGTATGAATAGGGGCTCAGGGGGCGGGGTTATCACATGTCGCAATGCGGGGTCTGGATCAGGACATGGACATGGAAGATCGAACGTACCAGACAACTCTGTCGCCCTCCTTCAACCCGTACAGGTCCCCGCCGCCCGTCTTAACGACGGTGCCTTCTGCCTCGCGGCCGAGGATGTACGGGAACCGCGGTGCTGGGTATAGGCCTGAGCGGAAGTACCTGCGTCATTGGTTAGTATCGGAGTATATATATATATATAGATATATATATAGATATAGACTGTCAATGAGAGGAACGAGAAGAAGATAATGCTTACGTGTCGATGAAGTTGACACCCAAGTAGTCGTTCTTAACCAAGATCTGGCCGTCGACGACAGCAGGGACGGGGATATCAGTCTTATACTGAAGGACCTCAGGGCCTCCCGTCTTGTCGATAATGACAGCCTTCTGGGTGGTAGGGATAGACGCCATGTTGCGGATATGTATGATCAAGGGATTATTCCGAATACTCTGTAAACGCGAAGGAATGATTGCTGCTTGCGGTGCTACAGCTCTCCTGCCAGAGCTACAAGCCAGTAAGCGGGCGGACGCGGTTCTTATAGACATTCACAGGGGACTCTTTTCGTCGAAGGGTGGTCCTTCTCCGGCTCCGGGACTCGGCCGAGTGACGATATATATATATATAGGTATATATATGTACCTATAGGGTAGGTACCTATCTTTGCAAACGGGAAACAGGGTTAGATAGAAAAGGAAAAAAAAGGAACTTACACGGGATTGGAATCATTGGATTGACCAGGGACAGCCTTAGTAAACGTTACGAAAGAGCTCTGGCTCCAAGGCTCCTGCCCCGACATGAATTACTAATGATACCTACCTAATGTATTAATTATTAGCCTTTAGCCTTGTACTCCAAAGACTTCCTAAGGTACATAGAACTAACGGCTGAAACGATGTTACATCCAACCTAATGCTATTCCGGTGCACAAATTCGACTTAGCTAACTATCGCGGAAATGACGCCATTGAAGCCGAACCCCCTCCTGCCCCGCAGTTGCTCTTTCCCGGGCTTTAAACCCGTGATAACTAAAGCCCCAAGCCCCAAGCCCCGACCCCGTTCATCCCACCGATCTGTTAATCGGGAAAGGTGAGAAAGCGACTATAAATCCGAGGCCGACTGACTAATCGGATCCCCCTTAGCTCCAACTGCCTATACTTCTATAGGTAGATTATATAAATCGCAATGTGACGACATCGTAGCAAGCTTGCATCACTTTGCTTGCATCACTTTGATATTACTATAATTCCCTAGTCCGCCTATTTACCTACGGTCTTAGAAGGTTAAGGGGAATTTATACCCCTGATTATGTCATCTCATCACGTCTCATTTCATTGCTATCATGTACATTTCATTTTAGCTGTCCTAGACCACACTACCTCGTCAATGCGATGTCGTCGATTCTAAGAATCATCTTCACCGTCTCGGCCGCCAACTCGATAGCACTCGTGCTCACCAACAGCGGTTGCAGTACGTTCTCCTTGGCAATGTTCGCGTTGACACCGCCGCTCTTGATGCTCACACCTGCATTCTTCTCTCCCATCTCGTGTCTATGTCGTAGATCCGTAACCACCTTAATGCTGTTTAAGCCGGCATTTTCTGCCAGCGTTGTGGGTATCACTTCCAAAGCATCCGCAAAGGCTTTCCAGCAGATAGCCTCCGTGCCGGTAAGGGAGCGTGCTTGCTTGGAGAGCTGAGCTGCGATTTCAATTTCAGGCGCACCACCACCAGCAATAAGAGCCTTCTTCTTAACCAGGCAGCGGATAACGCAAAGCGCGTCATGGAGCGAACGCTCGGCTTCGTCCAGAATTAAGTTGTTAGCGCCACGGCAGACTATAGACACCGTCTTTCCCGCCGATTTCGTGCCTGTGATTTTGACCATCCGTGCACCGTTAGACTGAGCCTCTTCGACAAGGTCGGCTGTTCCAAGCTTGTCCTCGGTGAAGGAATCGATATCTGCAATGGGCTTGCAGCCGGTAGACTTGCAGATAAACTCAACCTCATCTCTCTCGATATCCTTGACCGCCAGAATGTTAAGCTTGGCAAGGAAGTGCAGAGAAAGGTCGTTGACAGCATCACGCAGGATAGACTTTTGAATTAAAAGCACATTGCACTTGGCCTTCTTGATCTTCTTGACAAGGTTAAGGAGGTAAAGACGCTCCTCCTTGACGATCTTGTCCATTTGGCGGTAATCATTTACCTGGATGGTGTTTTCCATCTATACACGTAATTAGAAAATTGTAGACGGGAGACTTTTATCCATTTTGACTTACATCTGGCTTGGGAGGGCTTAGTTGGAACTGGATCAAGCCGATCTTGGCTTTCTCCATCCTCACCGGGCCGCCTGCTGCTTTGATGACCGGCTGATTTAGGACCACTCCATCCACCAGCTCGCTGTCTTCTATCGTGCCTCCCACCTTCTTGATGATTCGGATGTTCTTCAGGTCTACATTGTCCGCTGACTTGATATCGATGGTTTTTGTGACCGCGTTGACCGCCATAGGGCCGAGCAAGCCTGAGTATTGGGAGACAATCTTAGAAGAGAGAGATGTGTTCGCTGCTTGCAGAAGGGTGGCGTTGTCGGCTAGGGAGACAGGTTGTGACATGTCGTGGAGGATCTGAACCGCCGCTACCGCCGCTCTTTGGAAAGACTCGGAAATAACTGAAGGATGGATGCCCTTGGATAATAATCTATCTGCCGCACCGAGTAGGGCACCACATATAACTACCACCGATGTCGTACCGTCTCCTGCCTCGACATCTTGTGCTGCTGAGAGGTTGACAAGCATCTTAGCTGTGGGATGCATGACAGACATGCTCTTCAGCATAGTGTTTCCATCGTTTGTGATTATGGTTTCGCCCTTCCCACTCCTGATCATCTTGTCCATTCCTCGAGGCCCTAAGGAGGTTCTGATGGCATCGGCAACGGCTGTTGGGCTTTAGTAAGTATAGTAAGTATACCGGGAGGATTTATAGAGATATGCATACCTCTGGCAGCAACGATGTTTGCAGACCGCACGGCGATGGGCTTTTCCTTATCCTATTACATTTTAGTTATATAAGAACCTCTGGTCCTAAGACCGTAAGTTGGGTTGAAGAAATAGAGATCATACCCTGAAAGTAGCGTTGGAATGTGCGCCAATGGCGGATTGCGTTGCGGTAGCCATGGCGATCCAGTTGTTCAGTATTTAATAAACAGAGGTTTTCCTAGTAACTATTAAAAACCTTGAACTTCGATAGAGATAGGATGCCAGAACTTTGTCGTAGGGTACACCGAAATATTAGGCTACGATTTACGAAAGAGGTGGGTTTATGAGAGACGTGATAAAAGCTCCCCGCCTAGGCTGTGATATTTTTTTGGTACGGATTACTTCGTACTTCGTACATGTGCTTAATACAAATAAAATGCTCCCGGGGTAGCTGCGAGGCTACTTACCCACTAACCCACTAACCAGATATGGCATAAATTTTGGTACGTACCTCTATTATCTAGAAGCTGCAAGTCTCTAACGTTAGGCAATGAAGGAGCTTATGCAACCACATTTGTCCATCATCAGTCAGTGACGGGACCTCGCGAACTTCCAGTTTGCCTTACTTTCATAATATTCATTTCCATCAACCATTTATTTATCCGCCCACCCAACGAACAATACACAATACACAATACACAATACACAATTCTCAAATAACCACCGTCCTCACCTCCTCCCACCAATCCTCTCTTTTCTCTAATAATAATAACATCAGCGAGCTTCTTGATTTTAGAAGCTCTCTAACAAAATGGTACGGCGATTTCTACGTTTATAATCACAGGCCTCTAGCTAACGGTACTTTAGCCTTCTGCCACCGGATCAAGTTGGGAGAAGTACAGGAAGAACTTCGCCGACGATGAGATAGAAGAGAAGAAGATCACGCCCTTATCAGACGAGTACGTTCCAGCCCAATTTCCCTTTCTTTTCACCTTACGCCGAATCTAACCTCGCATCTAGAGATATCCAAGTCCTCAAGACATACGGAGCAGCGCCCTATGCCACGGCCCTCAAAAACCTCGAGAAGCAGATTAAGGAGAAACAACAAGCCGTGGACGAGAAGATCGGAGTCAAGGAGTCCGATACAGGCCTCGCGCCGCCACACCTGTGGGATGTCGCCGCCGACCGTCAGCGTATGTCAGAAGAACAACCGCTTCAGGTAGCGCGGTGTACCAAGATCATTGCCGACGAGAAGGACGAGACCAAGAGCAAGTACGTGATCAACGTAAAACAAATCGCCAAGTTCGTCGTCCAGCTCGGTGAGCGTGTATCCCCCACCGATATCGAGGAAGGCATGCGCGTCGGCGTCGACAGAAATAAATACCAGATCCTGTTACCACTTCCCCCTAAGATCGATGCCAGCGTTACTATGATGACGGTTGAGGAGAAACCCGATGTTACCTACGGCGATGTCGGTGGCTGCAAAGAGCAGGTCGAGAAACTGCGGGAGGTCGTTGAGATGCCGCTGCTGTCGCCCGAACGATTCGTTAACTTAGGTATCGATCCCCCCAAAGGTGCTCTGCTATACGGCCCCCCCGGTACCGGAAAGACTCTATGCGCCCGAGCCGTCGCAAACAGAACAGACGCCACGTTCATCCGAGTCATCGGTAGTGAGTTAGTGCAGAAGTACGTTGGTGAGGGAGCCAGGATGGTGCGAGAGCTATTCGAGATGGCCCGGACGAAGAAAGCTTGCATCATCTTCTTCGACGAAATCGACGCTGTGGGCGGTGCTCGATTCGACGACGGAGCCGGTGGAGACAACGAGGTACAGCGAACTATGCTGGAGCTTATCACACAACTAGACGGCTTCGACGCTCGCGGCAACATCAAGGTCATGTTTGCCACCAACAGACCCTCGACTCTAGATCCCGCGCTCATGCGGCCCGGCCGAATCGATCGAAAGATCGAGTTCTCGCTGCCGGACCTCGAGGGCCGCGCCAACATTCTGCGTATCCACGCCAAGAGCATGTCCGTCGAGCGGGATATCCGATGGGAACTAATCTCCCGTCTGTGCCCTAACGCCACGGGTGCCGAGCTCCGCAGCGTGTGCACCGAGGCGGGCATGTTCGCTATCCGCGCGAGGAGAAAGGTTGCGTCCGAGAAGGACTTCCTGAGCGCCGTCGATAAGGTCATCAAGGGCAACCTCAAGTTCAACTCGACCGCCACCTACATGCAATACAACTAGACGTACCCCTAGGGAGGAAAACGGGAGGAAAACGGGAGGAAGGAAGCGAGATGTGTTGTTTGTATGAATAGTAGTTAGATAATGAACTACGGCCAACTAGCCAGCCAGTTAGGCCGGAATTCCATGTAGACTCAGCGGTAACTCCCAGCATAGGTAATACAGCCAGCTTCGCCCATGTTATGTGCTATGCGTTATGCGTTATGCGTTATGTTACTTATACATAAATCGTGTTGTCGTCATCAAAGTCGTCTTGTTTCGTGCGTGTCTACTAGTTACATGATGTGCGGGCGCCGATACAAACAGCCTTACCCCGTCCCGTCCCGTCCCATTCCGTTTCGTCCCGCCTAGTTGGCCGTGCTACTTGACCAGCTTCCTAGGCTAGGCACTAAGTTATTATAAGTTACAGTAGGTAGGTAGCTAAGGTACCAAACCCCAAGCATGCTATGTACGCTCTTCTCTTTCTCTTCCAAGACAAGTTAATAGACGCACCCGCGGCTTGCGGGATATGAATGGTATCTTGCGAAGTCATATGCTAAAATACGATGCGATGCGATGTTCCCGTAGCGCCGTGACCATGCTTCAAGTTTCCGCGAGCCCTCCCGATAGGGCTCTCCCCAGTGCCGTCCCGCCCGGTACCGAACTATATTATTTCCCTCCTTCCAAGCTCGCACGGATATCGTACCTGGTGTCCGGCGTTGGGGCGGTGGTTTCGTCTGAATAGTGAGTAATTAATTAATGTTGCTCCTGGTCCTGGTCTTGGTCTTGGTCTTGGTCTTGGTCTTGGTCTTGGTCTTGCTCGTCCGTCGAGGCACCCTACGCCCCCTCCATGCCGGCCAAGCACCCCAAACACACAACGTCGCCCTCGGGTCCGCGCTCCACGCAGCACCGGCTACAGATCAGCTCCCGATGGCCGCGGCCGATCCAGCTCGAGTCAGGCCCGGTACCGCCTCCCTTTCTTTGCTTCTGGTTCGCCTCGGGGGAGGACTCGGGGGTGATGTCGTCTACATCCTGCATGGTGAACGACGCAGATAAGCTGTCGTCATCTTCTTCTTCTGAGGATGCGAGCCAGCCCCGGCACGCGCGTAGGCACACGAAGCAGGACCGCTGTCCGCAGCCGAAGCAGTCGGCGAAGGAGTCCAGGTCGGATTTCTTGGTGGGTTTCCGGTGGCAGATGTGGCAGGGGCTTAAGAGGGATTGCGAGTTTGATGGCCCTGTTCTGAGACTTGTGCCTAGTTTGGTGTGCTGTGGCGATGGTGTAGGCGCCGGGGACTCGGGGTGCGCATGGCAGTAGGAGTTATGCGAATGTAGATGCCCATCGTTGTCGTTAACAAGCCGGAATCTCTTGTTCACAGGTAGAGGTATCATCTTCCGAGGCATATTCAGCAGGGAAGCAGCACCTCGGGCCGATGTGGGGAATATGAAGCGTTCATTATTGTTGATGGCGGATAGAAGATTCGTCGACTCGTGTTGGGATGTTCTGGTACGGGACTCGCAGTTAGCGGACAAGGACTTGACGAGAGAGATTTGCGGGTCGTCGTACAATTGCACCTGTACCTGGTTGGGGTCGTCATCATGCCTCCTCTTCTTACTCGGGGAGAGCATGGGTAATTCGAAGGGCGTTACGGATGGCATCTGCAGGCTGTGTGGAGCACACAAGACCCTGGGGGAGGAGATGCAGGTTTTCTACGTCGACGGGTTTCGCTTGGGCCGGGGGGGAAGAATGGAGAGTCCAGAGGCGAATATAGACGAAGATAAAGAGATTTGGGTGGGTGGGAGCTGAGACGAGATGGAAGAGAGGAGGTATTGCATGTTGGCTTAGACAAGTTGTTTATTAGGGTGATGGATGTGAGGGTGATACGGATTATGGCGGATTATGGCGGATTATCCGCTCGGATCAACCAACTTTCAGGGGTCCTCTAGGGCTGCCCTGAATACGGTATGCCTGAATTTCAATTCCCATTAGCGGGTTTAGCTCGGTGCTTCGATGAGGTAACATTGGATTGGACGAAAAGGTAAAGACAAACGTCCATTAAGCTTACCTCATTGGGTAGTTAGTTAATCATTAAACAATACATGTACGTACCTGTCATCTCCAACCTATACAGTACGTACACCGTACATTTAACAGACTTACCTATTCAGGTAACTTTGGCCGAGGACGTTTGTCTTTATTTGTCTTTACCAAGGCAACATCAGGGCAACCTCTCTCCGGTGGAACACGTGTAAATACAAGTAAACCCAAGACAACTCGTTCCTTGCCAAAGATACCAGTTATGAATCTTAAGATGGGAATACATTTATTTAGTTAATCGGACGTACCAATTACTACAGGCTCTTTCTCCCCTTCCCAATCCCCGCAATGCAAGGGACGTCATCGCAACATTGGCTGATACAACCTTACAAGCCACGTAAAAGTCCCCTCTTAACCAAAGTCCCACGGTATTAGGATATAGAGCATGATCATGTCTGGTCTAAAGTTATCTTTAAGCGTCTCCCGCGCTTCTTAAGCTTTTATATATGTAAATATGACTAACGTGGTAGCATAAAATTCGATACCGGATAATACTTGCAATGGTTATCAATGATATGCACAATGTGTTTGACGGAATGAATCGGATTACCCCTCTTAGATAAGAGCTCCCTGTTGGCAAACTTACAGATGATATAAATATATTTGAAGAGCTCGACAAATAACCTATAGCTACTTGTTACGGGGAATATAAGATATAGACCTCACATAAATACAGGTGCTATGGAACAACCCGAGCAGCCTAATCCCCAGTAAGTTATTCCTTAACTTGAAGTGACTAAAAAGGATTCTTAATCAAGTGAGGCCTGCGTAGGCCGTGGATAATAAGTATAAGTATATTTTGGCCTAACTCGTCACATCTCAACCAAGTAGGAGAGGTCCAACTAAGAGTAAGGGGCCAGTCCAATGTGCTGAAATCTTGGTGATATTTACATTCTCAGACATGTACAAGAGACCTATTGATATCGTAGGTAATACATCATACCACCCTTGAACACACTATAACACCAACTACCAAAAACATCGAGTAAGCGAACACAATGGCGGAAAGGAAATTTCCCAAATGGCAATAAGCCCATTCTCTCGTTTTTATCCGAGACCGACCTATACTCGTGAGAGATCCATCTACTCCTTGCCCCAGTATCCTTTTAGAAGGCTGTGAAACTTTTCCTGTATGAAAGCCAGACTCTGGCGTATGGTTGACACATATGGAGTACTGCTTGATTAATGAGTCAGTTGGCTTGAGCTCCAATACTCTCTAGGTATGTGTACATACTGATCAGTGTCCACTTCCACTCTCATTTTCTCCGCTTTCCTTTGCTTCAACGCCTCCTGATACATAGTGTACGAATCGAACATTACAGTCTCTTGGAAGTACGTCTCGTAACGATGAAGCATCTCTTCCAGCTTCTCCGGGTGGCTTTCTGCTAGGTCATGGACTTCGTCAAGGTCCTTAGATAAGTCGTAGAGCTCCCATTTGCCAGGACCTTTAGGAGGAGGGAGGAATAGTGCTTTCCATTCTCCCACTCTAACTGCCGCTATTCCAAGCTGCTCCCAGCCAACAATGTCCGTGTCATTGTATATCTGAATAGCCAGCTAAGATAGGCAAGGCTTCCAACAGTTGTCCTTCGGCCCCGTTGTCGGACATGAAGACAACAAATGTGTTATCAAGCTCACCTGTCTCTTCTAGATAAGTACGCACGCGGCCGATGTTCATATCGATAAGATCAACCATTGCCGCATAAACCTCCATGGTTCGGGATGATTCTCTCTTCTCTGCGTCTGATAGCTCCTCTCAAGGCTTGGTATTTAACATATGCATGGGAGCTGGCTCAACATCAGGGGGCACGAGCGCCTTTTCGATTAAGCTGCGGAGTCTGCGATCCCGTAACGCGATAGGTCCATCATCGTATTTGCCATGGTACTTTTTGATGATTTCTTGCGGTGCCTGTAGTGGTCAGTGAGGGGCTGTAAACGGGAGATAGCCAAAGAAGGGCTGAGATCTCTCTTCCGTTGTCCGTTCCTTTAAGAAGTCTAAGAAGTAGTCCGTAAATGTGTTAGAAGAGTAAAAGTCCTTAGGTAGATCTGTGCTCCCGTTGATGAACTCTGAATGTTTCATCCATATACCATCACCCTTGAAGATAGCCGACGGCTTTTCCTTAAGGTCATATAGCTGTGGCTCGTGGTTGAAGTGGTTTCCAGCCCCAGGAAGGGTAGAAAGTACTTTGGTAAATGCTCTCGCGTGCGGACCAAGTTCCCTCTTCAGGCCTAGATGCCACTTCCCACTCATGAGTGTAAAGTATCCCGCATCTTGAAGGATCTCCCCTAAAGCAGCTACACGATAGTTCAAATATCCTTCATAACCAGGCTTGTCTTTAAAGATGCCCAGAGCCTTTTTCTAAACGAAAGATATTAGACAGATGGTGTAACAACTCTTACTAGAATTAGAACTTACTATTTTCTCCGCCATTACACCCAACCCGGCGATATTCGAGTCTGTGCCAGACAGAAGCATAGCTCTCGTAGGAGAAGAGAACATGATGCAGCTGTGTGGAAACCGGTCATACGGATTCCCTCGTTAGCTAGCTGTTGTAGATTAGGGGTGTCGATCTCGCCCCCATAAGGAGACGTATCGCTGAACCCTAAGTCGTCAGCGACGATTATCAGAAAATTAGGCTTCTTTTCAGCCATTGTCGATCGGAGATAGTGATCATATATTAATGCTGAAAGCACGGAAAATACGATAACTAGCAGCCAACGTCTCGAGGCGCCTTGCCCCAGAAGAAGCCACATATTTCCTTGGTTGGTTTCATGCGTGGCATTTCCGTGGTTCCGGCAAAACTGATAGAGATCTAAATATCAAATAACGGAAGAATCCAAAGTGGTGAATATATCCGTTAAACGTGCAGGGGACGTTGCCGTGGTCTGCATACCGTCTTACGCACAGGGACGTTGTCTTCCCACGTTCTACGAAATACATTGTATGTAGGCCATAAAATTGTTGTATAGGTACCTAATTATGTGTAAATTCATCATCATCTACTACGGTATTGCTGTTTGAACCTTGGGAAAGGGAAGAGGGTTAATTAAAAACGACCCCTTAGCTGCATTAACCGGGGCAATTTATACAGGTACCTTACCTACCTATCTAATTCATATTTATTATAAAGCAATCTACTTCGTATCGGTCCGCGTTGTCCGACTTAATTAATCTTTTAGAGGTCCATGTTGTGCTACTATCAACGTCAACAGCTAATGACCAGCTTTAAGTCTTGTTCCGCTTTATTGTATTCGATCCTGGCGCAATCGGAGCTCACAGCCACTCCTGATAACTTCGGAGCACAGTTTCGGAGAGCAGCTCGGAGGAATCCTTAAGGTGCCACGGATTTCAAGATAATACCTCTCCGACTACATTCCTTCGGTATCGAAAATGGGGAATGAGAAACTAGAGTATGTAACTAGTAACTAGTAGTATTGTCTTTGAATCGATGAAGATTACATAAAATTAGTACAAACTTTCTTTTCATAAATGCCTTCAGTGAGACGTACATAGTATGTAGCAACTAATTGTCCTTCAAATGACGTAATAGGGTCGTTCAAATCCACCTGTTTAACAATGCACAACATACACTGTGTATGTAGTGCATCGCTAACAGCGTCACTGAATCTATCCACATCATCGAGACTTCCGTATTCGTTTTAAAACGCATCGGTTATGAGTAATAAGAATTGAGTTTTATGGCCAAGGTTAATATATAACGAACTCGTCACTGTTAAACTCCAAATTCTTGCTTACCTAAGTTAATAGTAGCTACCCGATTTAAGCGTCACAAGACTAAACGTTGCTGTTTCTTTAATTCTAAATTTCTTAGACGATTTCCACACAGTACTAATTACTGCCGTTGTGTAACAAAGGTCACAAGGCGGTCTTGCTTTATTACCTGTATTACAGCTAAACGGTCGCTAGGCTGCTAGGCGGTGAAATCTGATAAGGCATCATCGCGTCACGTGTTTCGCAAGGCTCGGTCTTTAGCGTGTCCTAATCCGATTTGCTCCGTAGCCCAGAGCGAAACTCCCGTCTCCAGAATCAGATCGACTCCTCCAAAAGCTGCACACGCCTCTTCGCCAATCTTGACTACCTAAAACACCCCATCAATACCACCATCTCCTTGGACCAACAATCCAACAACCAACCATCAGAGTCTCGAGAATACAAAAAATAGTTGCCTCATCAAGATATGAGTCGCGCCGGCAAGATTGCCCCCGAGCAGCTCCCGTAAGTCATCACATTTAATTCCTTTCGCCTCCGGTATTACGTGCCAATTGTTAATACACCTGCTAACCTCTTTGTCTAGAATTTTGTTCGTGAAGAATCTAAAGTTAGTCACGTCACCACAAGTCCTCCAAATTCTATTCCCGACTTCCCTCTAACGAAATTATAGCTACGAAGTATCCTCTGACGCGCTTTGGAAACTCTTTGACCCCGGTGAGGACGGACTCATCCGGTACGTTCCCATATTGATCGGGTATCAAGGTCATCTTGCTAACCATCATCGCAGCCAAATCCGACAGGGTATTTCAGTCGAAGCAAAGGGAACCGCCTATGTTGTCTTTTGGAACGTCATGGATGCGAAGAACGCTCTCGAGAAGCTAAATGGCTACAACTTTCAGAACCGATATCTTGTCGGTACGTTTACCCTATCACCCTATCATCATATGGACTCCCCTTTGTAGTTGTATATTGTCTCTAACATATTATGCAGTTCTATGGCATCAACCAGAGAAGACCCTCAAGTCAAAAGACGACCTGCAGGCTCGCAAGGACAATTTAGCGCAGCTCAAGATGAAGCATGGGATCGATTGACAATTAGACGGGCCTGCAGACAGGCTCCAGACCCGTGCCCGTGCTCCGTCTGCAGTCCCGTCTTCTCCAGCTTCTACTACATCTAGCTCGAGCTTTACCTCCTCCACTACGACGTCGATCAAGAAGGAGCCGACATCGGTGGCGAAGGACAAGAAGAGTAGGCCAGACGACGTCGCCCGACACGCACGAAAGATCGCGTTGAACTTCATGCGGGGCATCCTTCCACAGAAATCGAATAAGCTATGCATGACTTAAACGTATCGTACAAATCATCAGATTATCTGCGCGGATGTCCGGGCATTCGGTCATGGCATACAATAATTCGCGAACGCGCAGTGTTAGCTTTTTGCTGGGCGTGCCACCCTTTTAAATTGCGAGTCGCTCATTAGCAACACCTATGGAACGCGGTGGACGTTGGTCAGATTGATTCATGGTTATTCGGTGGTTTTACGGCATACTTCTTATGCCACATAGTTACTTGGCGTTGTGATTGCGCGGAAGAATATGTTATTTATTCACGGGGTTTGAGGCTTTTCCACTCCTATTTGAGAATGCAGAAAACCTCAGGAATTGATTTTTCCAAGAACGTGTCTTAATCCTAGTTTAATGCATTCGTACGTAGACCTTTTCAACGTGAAGTTGTGATCATAATCTGCTCTCGTGACCATTATTGTTAAGCCTGTAATACTAACCACCACTCGGCTATTCCTCCACCTTCGTACGACGTGAAGTCTATCTTTAATTGGAAGACTGGATAAGGCCAAACGGAAAGTACATGTAGAACACGTGGTATTAGAATGCTCCGATAGACGCACTTGGTGAATCTAGGTTCAGGTAGGTAAAGTAAGATGTTTAAACTGAAACTATGCTTTGCAGATGACTTACCTACATGTAAGGCAACCTGACGGTTTGGAAATCTACAACTTCGTCTAGTAAAGTTAAATGGTGTCTGATATACGGAATACTTACATGTACCTGTCAGTGCTGGAGAGTCTCTATAAATACCTGGTAAGTACCCCTTAATTACATGTAACTACCTAAAATATACCGCCAAGTACCTAGAATAGGTACCTAACTTCTAGTACTGTAGAAGGTACCTAAAGTACCTAACGCTTAAGGGAACTCTGTACCACGTACATACATACATAGGATAGGTAGGTGGGGGAGGCTAGTGGTTTTAGATAGGCAGTAGCCTAGATCCTACATACCCCGTACGTCTCCCGAATTATAAGCATCATACATGTACCTACATAGAGGCTGCAGGTGCCCTATGCCATGTAAAGGATTGAAGCTGAGCGGCTGATCTTTGTGGCTTGTCCATCTCCCATTTTACCACCTCGACCTCCTACAACCGCCTCCATTCTTCACTTCTCTCATCCGAACATTCAACCTTTAAAACGCTTTCTCTTATTTCTTCCCTCTCCTTGTTCAGTAATAAACACTGGATTACGCTTGTATCTTTGTTGGAACTCGGATTATTGGCATAGAAGCCATTTTTTTTACTTTTTAGTAGCAACCCCTCCTATTCGAACGAACCCTGGCTGGATCCTAGGCGTCGATCCTCGCTCCTTTCCCTTTTCTTACCTCGTATCGCCCGACCTGTGTCTCGAGCACAGAGTCGATGTCGCTTTCTTCCACAATTGCCTCTCTCGCATACGAAACCTCATCCGCAACAATCACCGCTACCCCTGATGCAGTTATAGGAGTTGACCTCCCTTCTGCTACCAACGACGTGGCCTCGCTTCTTACTACCACCGCGACGGCGATAGCAGCTGCCGCAACAACGGCCATGTCCGGCCCTGAAGATGATTATGGCGGGGAGGGAGAGTGCCAGCTTGTTGGGCCATTTGCTTTAATCGTACAACTCGCGCTGGGTGGATTGGCGCTTCTATCTCTCGTTTACAAGCGGTGGCGGGAAAGGCCTCAACGACCCGTCAAGATCTGGTTCTTCGATGTGTCGAAGCAGGTGTTCGGGTCGGTCTTGGTGCACATCGCGAACGTTTTTATGTCGATGCTTACAAGCGGCCGGTTTTCTATGAAGTTGGATCCGGTCACCGTGCAGACGGCAGAGAGGTTACTACGAAGAGAGGACGAATATGTCCCGAACCCTTGTTCATTCTACTTATTGAATTTGGCTATTGATGTAAGTTTTTGCGCGTATTTATGTTTCATGGCAATGGGAGAATCTAATCCGCTGGCAGACTACTATCGGTATTCCTATTCTTATCATCCTCCTCCGTATCTTCACCGGCCTCGTAGCATATACTCCCTGGGGAAAGCCGCCAGAGTCAATCCAGTCTGGCAACTACGGCAGCCCACCTAACGCCTGGTGGTGGTTAAAACAATCTGTCATCTACTTTTGCGGCCTGTTTGGCATGAAGATCTGCGTTCTTATCATATTCTTGATAATACCATGGATATCACGCGTAGGAGATTGGGCGCTCAGATGGACCGAAGGCAACGAGCGCGTACAGATCGTATTCGTCATGATGTTATTCCCACTTATCATGAATGCGATACAGTACTACATTATCGACAGTTTTATCAAGTTGAAAGAACCTGGCCACGAAAGTCTTCTTCCATCGGAAGGCGGAGATGGACGAGATTCCTTTGATGATGCGCTTATCGAAAGTGACGACGAATCGATCAGCGGAGAGAGCAATGAAAGCATGAAGCTCTCCAACTCTAGGAATTTCCAGAGGGCAGACATAAAGGGCCCAGATGGCAGACGTGAAGAATACGACCCGGACCTAGATGGGCAAACGATAATAGGAAGCAGCAGGAGTCAAGAAAGGGGAAAACTATTACCTAAAGAATTAGTTCCTCCAGAGTAACGTGGGCTCCCTTTTTTTCTTTCTTGAACTTTAGCATTGGCCAAATATACAGTTTGTAAATTCTATGTTATGATATACAAACTATAATCTTTTTAGTACGGTCGTGATTGGATATCTCAAATATGGACAATATATGGTTGGGTTCATACAAGAAGCGGTAAAGTCTGGAATAGCGGTGGATCGGTTAGGCGTCTGGTTGCCAATAGCCTTAGCGGAAATGTGCAGAAGTAAATATGCAGAAATGTTAGCTGCATATTATGACTATTAGTTGGCCTTCGTGTTGCCTGCCGCGCTTCTTTGTCGACTGTGAGACTGGAGTCGACCACGGCGAATAGGGCGAATAGGGCGAATAGGACGTATTGTGTTCACCTCCACCTATATCACCTATATTTCATTACGGTGTAGCCGGTGCAGCTTTGGTTTGCTTGTTCTGCTTGTTCTGCCTATAGTTTTCCCTAACATGCTCAATCCGACGCGGACCGTGAATCGTTTGACTTTGAGGCGGCCTGAGCGACATGAGCGACATGACACACGTCTGTGGTCTCTGGAGAATATAAATTAGGTACGTGCTGACTTGTTTGTTCGACACTGGTATCCCCATACTAGTTGATACTAGTTGATATACGAGACTACTTACTTTTAGAGCTGCCTACATGTAACTCTTGGACTGAAGCTAGAGTCATACTTTACGGGCGGCTGAATTGTTCAAGGTTCATATGAATTGAACCTACAGGTTGCTCGGATAGGAGGTAAGGGGATATTTCCTATTTCCTACGAACGGCCTTATTAGATCAACTCCCTCAGCATACAAATACCCAACGTTGTCCCATGCCTGGCAATATTATTTTATTTGATGTTGTTGTAACTTTTCTATTTTGATCTGACTCAGAAACTCAAAAGGCAGTTACCCCTACTCATCGTTCTTACCAAGTCCCCACTGGTTCTGGTTCTGGCTCTGGTCGCTCTGGTCGCTCTGGTCGCTCTTGCCGTTGCTGTCACTTTGGAACCTGAGGTTGCCCTTACCTCTACTTCTACACTTTTACACTTCTACACTTTTACACTTCTACACCTCATACCTCTTGGAAACGCATTCATCAACACCGTCCTGCTTCCCGCTGAACTCAACTCATCATCACCCCATCAACGGACGAGGTGTTCATTCATTAATGATACCTACTTCTTTCTAGAATCTACTAGACAACCTATCAAGAAGGTCTCACTTATACCTTCCCCTAGCAACAATACTATCTCGCGCTATTTGTTCACAACCTTCCGACGTACTCAAGGCCACCACATTTATTTACGTGAGACACCTCACATATCATTCCTTCAGCCTAGAACCATCTTCGACTAGCTGTTGCGGTGAAACACACTTCTACTCTCCCCTGCCACTAAGAAAAGGCAATCGACAACGGGCAAGAAAATAAGACACCAATATAATGACGTCCTACTATACAAACCACCCGACCTATATGGGCCATTCGGGCTATTCGGGCTATTTATGTCAGTGTGGAGCACCGCTGGATATACGATACCAAAATAGCCCCCAATACCAAATTTCATCGCAAATTGAATACGCCGGCGGATACTGCCACGCTTGCTATAGACAAGTTCCTCTTTACCGGGCGAGAATTCCTAATCTCACGTCAAATCCTGCGTCATATCCCCATACTCCCTGGTACATAGATAACGGTTATTTTTCTACCGGATCCGACGTTTACACTTGGGGGTCACAGCGCCAGCTTTACCAACACCCCGGCATACCACCACGTGTCAGTCATACATACTACTCTCTCCAGACGCGGTATCCCAGCTTCACCTCCAACACGAGTTACTACCAAAATGGGTATGATATACCTCGCAGCACAGAACCTAGGCAGCAATGGTCTGCCGGCCGCAGCGAATATCCTAGATCCCCTCTTAACGACGAAACTCGGGGACGCAGAAAGTCGCCAAACGTACGTCGCCACTACTCCCGTGAACGGCGTGAACGGGAGCGAAGCTATTCATGGGAAAGATCCAGTGGCACCCAGGCCGATGACGATTCCATATATTCGGCTAGGACAGTTGGTAGCTGGACGACACGGGCGACTGCTGGAAGTCGTCGAAGTAGTAGCGCAACCAGCAGAAGCACTATCAATTGCACACCCTCGCCACAACCCGACGAGGATAATATCGGCGCTGCTTATCCTTGCGAGATAGAGGATAAACAGAAGGATGCGGTGGAAAAGGACGACGAAGAAGAAGAGCCCTTTACAGTTACAAGGGACGGCAAGTTCGTTCTGCTCGGGGAGCAGTGGCAAGTGCCGTCCCGCACTGAAGCAATAAGTGAAGCTGGCGAGCCTGTGGGATACTGTGATATCATCTCGACCCACGAGATGATCGATAAGGACGGGAATACGATTGAAGTCGACATCAAGGAGAAGAACTGCAAAGTATCACGGACTATGTCGGGCGGGCTCACGGATTAAACCCTTGGTGTGTTGCTGTTGCGTAATGTTTAATTTGACCTCGAGAAAGGGGGAGCGGAGGAAGGGGAATGTGTATTGTATTTGGACCGTACCGGTTGCCCCGTAGGTGTTGGCTTAGATTCCTGACCTGGCTAGATCTGAAGACTGCCTTCTGGCCCAGATTCTTGCCAGATACGATTACGACGAGATACCCGTCTGTTATAATGGATAATAGGAACTTTATATGAGCACGACATTCTCATTGGGACAAAGAGCTTGGTAAATGGCCTTGTTTTATTGTGTTGCATGTGACTGGTAGCTTCGTATGAGTTCACTAATCAAAATCCACAAGCAACTTACTTGCAAACGAAAGTTCTAGAATTCCTCCCCCCCTTTTAGCATTCTTCAACAAACACGATGGTATTCTTGCACTTCGTGACTTATTTGAATTATTTAAAACACCCGCACGCACATGTAAAACGAATCCATCCCCTTATATACCACCAGCCTAGCAGCCTATATAGCCTATATAGGCTCGTATTTACAGGTGGGTATCCTGGTACATCTGGTCTGTCCCTATAAGCACACAACTCGGCCGGGGAATTTTTGGCGTTTAACCGCAACCACAAATCGCAAAAAGTATCGGCAAACCTCTATATCTGAATTCCATCATGCTATGCAGATGATCGTCCGCCCCCCTTTTTCCCGAAACGCCTTCTTTGTCACTGAATACAAAATCCATCAGATCGCCGCGTATACCCGTCCGATTCGTGTATTAGTCGGTCCTCCTATGGTTGATTTTATTTTGGTATACCTTAACGAGTAAAACTAACTCCATTACGCTGATCGCATTTACATTCCGTTCCAGTTATCCTGCTGGGGCTGCCCTTGGGGTCGATATGTGCGGTAGCCGGGATACGCAGTTCCTCCGTTTGCGGTCTGCGTCTGTGTCTGTGTCTGCGCAGGAGGAGCTTCCGAGCGGCTGTAGCCAGAGTTGAAGTCAAAGCCGCTGTTGTTCTGGATGGGTGATCGCTGCCCCTGTTCATCTAAGTACTGCTGGTCTTGCGCCGGTTGTACTAACGGTCGGGTAGAGTCGTTTGAATACTGTCGTTGGGGTGCCGGGGGATATTGGCGGTTGTAGCTGTTGGGTGTTTGTGTCTGTGACCTCTGAGGGTAATCGTAGCCTGGTTGGGGACCGGGAGTGCGCATACGAGATGGAGCTCCGTTGCCATTGCCATTGCCATTGCCATTACCGTAGCTATAACCTGCTTGTGGGCCCGGCGACGCCATTCGCGAGGGATTAGCATATCCGTTATTGCTCGGCGCAGTGCGGTAGCTAGGCGGGGCACCGTACGACGCAGGACTGGCACTGCGGCCGTACTCGTCGTTGTAGGGTCTTGGAGTTCGCGATTGGGGATAACCTTGCTCAGCCCCACCTCTTCCATAACCGTTATTGTAGTCACGGTGAGGTGTTTGGGTCCTCATTGCTCCAGCTGCCATGCCATATCCCTGGTTCATATCTTCTTGGGGAGCCTGTCCATATCCATTGTAACCGTTATAGTTGTCATAGCCTTGTCCATTGGTAGAATATGGATCTGGGCCAGCTCGTGCTGCTGCCATATACCCATTAGGACCGCCTTGTGCTGGTGGTGGTCCGTAGGGGTTTCTATTCTCGGGAGAAACTGGGCTTGGGGTAGTCGTATGCGGTGGCAAGTTGCTCATAGGGAAAGAATTGTTGTTCTGGACATTCTCTGGCTTCTTCAATGGTTCCATCTCGACGGGTTCTTCCTCAACCAAAACCTTCTGTGATTTCGCGTCCTCCCAGCTTGGCATCGCAGGTAATGCATCTGCATCTTTCTTGTTGCCGTCGTCAAATACAGCATACTGAGGCACGGAAGGTGAAGGTGCTGTGGGTAATCCTGGTGTCATGGGCGCTTGCGAGTGATAGGCCTGGTTTGGTTCATGGTGCGGCGGAACGAATGGTTCGTCGAGATACTTATTCCGTTTTCCTCTAGGGGGATCACAACACCCGCAACATTCACCGCAGCATTTTAGACAGTAGCAACACTCGCAACAGCACGAAAGTCCACAGCAGAGGCATCGCGCGATACACCAAACGATAGAGAAGATAATGAGACCACCGATAATGATTATGGCAATTGCCGGCCACCTAGCAGATGTTAGTTTCTTAAAGCCGGAGATATCTCGAGTAGGGATCAGTCGTACTTGCAGATATCGGCCTGCATACAGTTATCCCAACTAGAGAAGGCAACCCTAGGGTCAGAACTTCCGCCCATGAGCGACTCAAGAGATTGCCGCTTGCCCAGCGCAGCGATAGCGCTTCGCGCGAAGAGATCCGCGAACGCATCCCTGAGGCTGCGTTCTTGGAGACTACGCTCCATTAAAATGCCGACGTGCGGCATTGCGTAATCCTCCAATATCCACCTATGCCGTGTGGTGTTGAATAAGAAATATCGGAGTGGAGTAAAGTTTGTGGTTATGCGTAAAAATGATCGGATGAAGAAACGCTGCTAAAGAGCCATGGTACGGAATAGTGGTATGAGTCGTATGTTCCCCAACCCGTGGGAGTAGCACCTCGCCCAGCCGCAAATACAACACAAACTACTAAAATGTCGTCTCCTCGGCTCGTGAATCACTCGATTTGAATCCGCCCGTAACTAAAATTCGCTCCGCAACTTGGTCGTTTTGGACGTATTTTCGAATGAATGTTGGCGGATGTGACACGTCAAAGCCTGACCGTCAACCAATCCACCGGGGAAAAATGAAAGGACAAAGGATCAAAGCGAATCGGTATTCGGGTATTCGAAGGAACGTCAGAACGATACACCTAGGTAGGTATATCTTAGGAAAAACAAAGAAGTGGGCATGGGAAACATGCCTCAACCATGTGGGTAAAAACGAGAGAATAAAATAAAATAAAGTCAAAAAATTCCAACCTATGGTGTAAGAATTGCGAATTGCGAAAGACGGCTTGATGGATGGAATTGGGGAAAATGCTTACTCAACGGTGTAATGCGCAATCTGAAGGGCAGTAAAGTTAAACGAGGCGAAGGTCGGTCCCTGGAAATGTGGGGGCGCAAATGCAGAACGGCAATTTCAGGGACAAGTCGCAATTAAGCCCGCTATGTCTGTATGTAAGATGTGCCTGCAGGCCGCGCAGCACTAGAGCGGGGAGATTGCCCAAAGCGATCTCCCAATACGCCCCTAGCGGTAGTGTGATTGGCACCTTTCTTGGGGACTCGATAAAGCGGTATGCTATCTATATACCTGGATTTAACATTTGAATATGGCATAACCAAATAAGTGCCAATTGATGGTTTCAGCCAAGTGACAACAAAACTTCTCCTGCTGACATCGACTGGTGCATCTTATGTTCTTTTCCAACATTGGCGTCGACTGCGCCTGGGCTAGGAAGGTCATACAGGCGCTTGTGCGGCTGCGCCCCAGCCCGACTATGGTATTTTCGTATACTTAAAGAGCCTGCCTAGAGGTATATTTTTATACAGGTATATATACTGCTTACCAACATAATTACATAGCAGAGTTGACATACTATTAGTGTACTCGCGGCTAGCTTCGACCTGACCAATAAATCTAGTAACTTTAGGAACCTACACTATTACGCATAGGTAGTCCTCAGCTAGCACTTCGATGTGGAGTCGTCTCGAATTCACCAGTGAGACAAGAGAAACGGGTCGCGGGGTTCGCACATGCAGCCCCCACTGTGGGAATTGCTGCAAAATCGAAACCGTTTATCTAAACAACTCGGGACCGCGGGACCGCGATTGGGGTAGTTATTGACGGTTCAAAGTTCTGGTGGGACCGAGGGTTATATAGCTGGGCTGAGCTGAGCTGAGCTGAGTTACATATGATCTATCATGATTCTCCAAGTTTTCTTATTGTAACTCCCATAGCTTCCATATTTCTCACTTACATTAGAGACCGTAGACTAGTAGCAGACATTATAGTCAAGGTATGAGTAAAGTAACCCATATAGGCGAATGCGAGAGAATGAGACGCATATCCCTCTCCATTCGCAATAGAAAATCTGTAGTGCTCTAGACGTAATACACGTTTCCCTTTGCCAACCACCTCATTACCAACACTGAAAACGATTAATCAATAGAGCCTTTTCTAACGCCTTAAACCACCAGCCTCAATAAGGGTAGCCTCAATAAGGGTATGTCCGATTCGTATCTGATCCATTTGCTCTTCGATTGACATTGCTCGTGCACCTAATTCCGCTACTAGCTTATCTATTGGGCGGGGGACCCTCGGGAGGAGCGTAGTCGTCCTTGTGCCCGTTGTTGTAGACGTTCTTGGGCGCCTGGACGCCCTCGTTCTGGGCGTAGTAACCGTCATTAGGCGAGAAGGTAGTGCCAGTGTATTGATTTTGCATCGGGAAGGACTGGCCGGGCGGCGCTCCGTATGCGGGAGGGGGGTTGGCGTAGCCTGGCTGAGGATTGTTGTAATATGCTGCGTTGTTGTTCGGACCGCCATTTCCAGCCATCCAGCCTGTACCGTACATGGGCTGGAGACCGCGACGTCTACGACGACGGGAGTTGACGCATCTATGATTATTGTTAGACACCGTAGCTTTAGCTTTTCGTTCAAATGAAGTACTTACACCATAAAAAAGAGAACGGCGATAATGAGAGCGATGACTACGGCAGCGAAGATCCATCGACCATACCAGTACCAGGCGCTATAACACCTGCCGTATCGATAGTACTCATTGTCTCTGCAGACTCCGTCCCGCTTTGCCAATCCCGCCAATTGGGCACTAACTAGGTCGATAAGCGGTGCCATGTGTAGGTATCTAATGATGTTGCGACAAAACGATGCGCAATGCCGGAAGTGTGAATTTATTGTGAATTTATGAAGTTGCGAAAAGCTCAGCTCCGGCTGCCTGTGAATGTGCCCGAGTTTACGAGGGATATTGTCAGACGATCTTTTTGCCTGGCTTTTTTTCGAAATAGGAAGTTCGTCCGTGCGCAGCGTTCGAGCGTTTTTATTGGGTGCATCCTCGAATTCTCACGTGCTCTTCCAGATCCCCACTTT